TGCTTGGAGTGTTTACTGCCATGAAGTTGAAGGGTTGCAGGTCCTGGTAAAGTGGGTTACTGCTGTCCACTGGACATGTCTCCTGATTTCCTGTTTGTGTCCAGGATGACCTTTCCAATCTGCCCCCCTCATGTCCTCTGCCTGCATGCCACATTCTCAATAGAGCTCTCTTGCCTCAATGGTCCCATGTCCCTCCTTTCAGCTGTCCTGCTCCAGCCTCCGCTCACTTCCCACTCCTCCCTCTGAAAACCATGCTCACTAAGGTTGCCCACAACCCCTTAATCACAAATTCACCTTTCAATCCATATCTTATTTTATCTTTTGTGTGTGCGTGTGTGTACATTCTGACCACTAGGGATTATGGAGTCTGCCTCAGGCAAACACAACAAAATTCTCAGGAGACAGAAACATCTTCCTTCACCGTAAGGGCTCCTCAGGGAGAGCACTGAACAGCACTGCTAAGCTCAGTAGATGGAAGCATGTCTTAGAAGCTGCAGGAGAGTGAGAGAATGAGTGGGTGTGTTCCTAGGTTGATGAGGAATGAGAAGGATGCAGGGCCTGGGGTGGGTGGCATTGTGGATGGAAAGTCATTAGAAGGGAAGTGGAATTACTAATCAAGCTAATCTAGCCAAGAGCTGGCTGCCATGTTGACAGTGCTGGACTCTAGGCCCGGAGTAGGTTGAAGGCAGAAGTCTCACAAAAAGACTCGCCTTTCTGGAGAAGACATCTGCTGGACCATGGCACTCTAGGAAATAGCTTAGATTCTGACAGTCTGAGTGAATTTAGGGACTCCCTCAGGCTGAAGTTTGCCATAGGCCTTGGACTAGATCCACATGATTCACAAGAACAGATGGAAAATTCCTGAGTCTTCCATTCAACTCAGCACTCAACAGAGCCATCCCCACCTGAAGGCAAGTCCAAAGCATGAAAAGTATATGTATATGTGTGTGTGTGTGTGTGTGTGTGTGTTGTGAGAGAGAGAGAGAGAGAGAGAGATGGATAGAGTGTGTGAATGAAATTTTGTGATTAGTTATTGTGGTAGGAAAGAGAATTCTGTGGCAAGGAAGCATTTGTCTTAAGACCTCTCTCATCTGGCTAATACATTGGCCAGGAATTTATCTAGAGGTCATCATCTCCCAGGGTCCAGAAAATTCTTCATGTTCAACTGCAAAATACTGAGCCTGGTTAAAGATAAATCCACCACACTTACTATTTCTCTCTTAACTGAATATCAAATCTCAGTCTTTTACTACCATGGATATGTTTTTCAAATGGTCATTTTTGCTATGAAGGGTACTTTTTATATATTTGGAGGAGAAACATGATCCTGCTGATTTCTACTCATAGTGTGAGGAAGGAGATGTCCCTTGATTGGAAGTGCAGTGATGGAGTCCTGCTCTGGCCCTGTCTTTCCTCAAGGGTGAGCACAAGACCCCTTTTGCTCCAACTGCAGTATCTCAAGGCTCTGAGGTTAATGATTGGTCCAAGGATGGTCACATGATCTGAGTCAGACCAATCAGAATCTGTCCTAGGACTTGAGCTGGGAGAAAAGAGTTGCCCCCCTCCTAGGGGCTGCACCTTGAGAATGAGCATACGGGGGCCAGGAGCATATCTTGTATGAGAAAACAGGGTTGACATCCACAGGTAAACAGAGATCTTGGCAAAACTAGGCCCTGAGTTCTGGCCTTCACCAGCTCTACCTTGCCCTTTCAGTTTGTGAGCCTTGTAAGAGGCAGCCCTTCCCAATCCTGCCTTTAGAGTGAGTTGCAAATGGGTTTCTGTCACTTATAACTGAGTAGACTTAAGGAATATTATTTCCTATAAATTGGAGGAACCAATGAATGTTCCTCAAGTCAAGGAACCTTTGTTACCATTAACTAAAGAGCTCTGATATCAGGGCTTTGAATCTAATAAGCAAGAGTGTTGGATCCAGGCTCCATTCTTGACTCCAGCCCTCACCAGTTTTGTGATCTTGTAGGAGCAAAAGTCACTCTGAACCTTCTCTGTAAAAGGGGAGTAATAGTATTTTCCCTGAAGATTTGCTATAAGGGTGAAATGAGTGGCAGAAATTCCCGTTCTGTAAGTGGAAACTGTTATTATGATTTCTTTAGCCTTTGCTTTTTCCCTAAGCTTTTCTTCTCTGGTCCACCAGGATGTCAAGCATAGAGGAAGGCAAAATGGTTTATAATGGCTCTGAATTTATTTCTAATCCTCTGTGTATCTCTTGGCCCTAGAAGGCTGAGAAGTGCTGGCTCCCTCTGGGACAGGTGAAGAAAGATCTTAGCTCTGATACTGAAGCACAGGGAAAGCCACTCAAGGTCTTTCCACAAGGCAATGGTGGCCCAGCTTGGAGAGGTTGGCTGTATGGAATACAACTAGTAGCAGGGGACACATGGAGCAAAGCTTCCCCAGAAGGTGCAGGAGGGCTTCCCAGGGCACATGAGAATCATCACTTAGTTCAGTCATTGAGTAAGGAGCAGAGTAGCTGGATAGGGTTCAAGATTGGGCAAAGGACACAAAGATGAGTAAGATCCAAGCCTCTTCCTAAATAGCTAAATGTAACCACAACAGCTAAGCAATGAGCTCCACCCAGCTGTCTCTGTACCCCATCCCGTGTCCCCTGGGTGACTTTTCTCCTGGATTACGAAACAACCTCCTTGCTTGCATACATATTCATTCTCTCCCCCCCCCCCGCCCCCCGCCACTTCCCACCTCAGTCCCTCTCTCTTTCTCTCTGCAGCATCATGGCTATAATCCTTTCTACCAACTATTGACATGTTAACCATCCAAAACTCCAATAAAATAATCTCCAATAAAATAATCTCCAACCATCTTTACTGGAGACAAAACCCAGATGTCCCAGCCTGGCATTTAAGACCCTTCAAGATATAGCCCGACCAAACTTGCTGACATATGCTCCCTCAAAACAGCTTTCACACTGAACCCTGTACCCTGAACATCCCAACATATTCTCACCTTCATGCTTTTATCCAAGCCATTTACTCCTCCTGCCCCTAGCTCCACATGTCCCAGTCCTCCCTGTCCTGAAGCCCCAAGTCAAATGCCACATCCTCAGGGAGTCTTCCTTGCTGATTCTAGTTACCAACAATCTCTCCCTACAGGGAGCTCCCCAAGCACTTTCTTTGCGCCTCTCTTACAGTACTGAACCCAGCTGCCCTGGGTGGTGGAATTGCAGAGTGTGTGTGTTTTGAAATCTGAGAAACTGCTGGAGCTTCTGTGTTGTGGCCACAAGAAGTCACCCTGAAGCAGATCTTCACTGTTCTTCCTGCAAGCTTGGGTGGCCCCCTTCTTGATTATGCAGATAAAAAGGGAGCAGCCTATACTGCCTTAAGGGGGTGGTGTTAGGGGACTTCTGGGGGGGTGGTTACCCATATATCTATCTTATACAGAACTGACCTCAGAAAACATGATAGGAAAATCTGTACAGGAGACAAGACTCCTGAGAAGATAAGAAATGTCCCCTCCCTTTCCTTTTATGGCTGGCATGATTAAAACTCCTTAGATGGGCTGGAGATTCCTCAGACAGTCTGCTGGCCCAACAGACACCAAGGGTCCAAGGGGGACCCACCAGAGGTCAGGATCAGAACTGGGAAGGGGGATCTAGGCTCAATACCAGTGCAGAAGTCCAGGGCCAAGTACAAGCCTTAGGCTGGAAGCTTTCTGGATCCAACACTCCCATAGGAGTTGGGAGGCTCTGGAAAAAGTGGCCAGAGTAATGATAAAAAGCAGAAACCCCTAGGACCTACACATGGGGGCCTGTATAGTCCCTCTGAGGGACAGTGGTCCAGGACATACCAGGTAGGCAGCAGCAATTTTCCTCCATGGTACTATGACATTAGTGGCAGAAAACTGGAGTCAGGTACTGAGTAAACAGGGCCCCAGTTCTGTCTCTCTCTCTCTCTCTCTCTCTCTCTCTCTCTCTCTCTCTCTCTCTCTGTCTGGCATTTAGAAATGGAGCTTAAGCCTGGAGTGAATCTGAGTGTCTCTAGAAAATTTGGGTGTGAGGTAGAAAAAGACAATATTAGAGTCCTCAATAAGCAAGGTATTTAGGGGATTGAACAGGTAACTGAAGAAATACAACCATATTTCCACTCAGTACAGCAAAGTGGGTCACACCAGTAGCATCCTCATCACAGGCTGCCCTGTTTTAAATTAGGGCCAGTGTCTACTATTAGAAATTAAGTGCTTTGAAACAGAACAGTATATTCAATCTCAATTTCCTCTATAATATTTTGTGTGGCGGTATGCTGGGCACAGTGGCCAGCATACTTATAATCCCAGAGACTTGGAAGGTTGAGGCAAGATTATAAGTTTGAGGCCAGCCTGGGCAACTTGGCCGGACCTGTCTCAAAGTTAAAAAATTAAAAGGGCTAGAAATGTGGCTCAGTGGTAGAGCACCCCTGGGTTTAATTCCTAGTATAGGAAAATAAATAAATAACAGTAGATGCACGATAAATTTTTGTTGGAAAAAGAGAGAGTGGGAAGGAGAGAAGCCTGGGGAGGAGGGAGATATAGTTTGCTGCTGAACTAAAAAGAACAGCTTCCTGGCAGAGAGGTGGGTTGTGAGGGACCTTGAAGGAAGAGCACCATGAGAAGACTGTTTGAGCCTTTGGAAACTGTCCCTTATAGGCCCAGAGTCCCTGCAGCATGTTAGGGGCTAGTGTCTCAGCAGGAGCCATCCCCGTGCTCCCCACCTCCTCTTCTTGTCATAGCCTCCCAGCAATTCTGTCATATATTCATCTTTAGGGAAAAGCATACAGAATAGCTGACTTTCCTAAATTTAATGCACTGCTGGGCCTCTCCCAGGGCCCAGGAGCTAAAGCTTCATTAACTTTCCAAGAACCAGCCTGTGCCCACAAGAACCCTCCCTGCTGGGGGCCTTGCCCTCTCCTCTCAGCCTGGCCCCACCCAGCTGGCTCAGGCTCCCCACTAGCTGGAGACCTGGGCAGCAGTTGCCTTAGACCAAGAGTGAGGCTCACCTGAAAGGCAAAGACATTCTTGACCAGAGTCTCCCCAAACACGAAGCTGGAGCCGGCCTCAGTATAGCTCAGGAAGGTCTGAAAGGGAAAAAAAAAAAACAAAAAACTACACTCATACACGCTAGAAAAACATGGGGTGAGTCTAGGAAGGAAGGAGAGAGGGAACTGTGGGCAGAGTCCCAGGCTGGGGTGAGCAGGGGCCTGGCCCTGGACCAGGTGGGAGAGAGGGATGCCAAAGCCACAGGCCTTCCCTGGCCCAAGGCAGGTTTCCCTTGAAACACAGTTCCCCCCATCTGCCCCGTCCCTGTCAGGGTCAGGTACTGCCTAGGGACAGACACTAAAGTGACAATCATTGTTCTTTCAGAGCATGTTCTGCAGGAGAAATACTTTTTTGGTCAATTTAAAATGTTAAATACCCTGAGATGAGAGTTGTTAAAACATTAAAGAAGGGCTGGGGACATGGCTCAAGTAGTAGTGCGCTTGCCTAGCATGCGTGAGGCACTGGGTTCGATCCTCAGCACCACATAAAAATAAAAAATAAAGACATTGTGTCCACCTAAAGCTAAAAAATAAATATTTTAAAAAACATTAAAGAAGATATAATAAGGAAACAAGACCTTAAGCTGTGTTGAAGAGGGCTGTTAAAGGGGGTGTCTTTTGTGCCTGCTTCATCCCCTGACAGCCAATAGTATACTGTCTCCATGTCCTGTCTCCATCCTAGACTCGTAGCCTGAATGTGGGAGTCCACACTCACTTCTGCAGGAGATATAGCTTTGTGACTGCAGGAACAACTCACTTCTCTTATCCAGGAGTCAATGTTCTCATCTATAAATTGAGGATATGCTGCTAGGAAGGCTGAGCCTAGAGGATTGCAAGTTTGAGGCTAGTGTGGGCAACTCAGCAAGACCCTATCTCAAAATAAAAAATAAAAAGGACTGTGGATGTAGCTCAGTGGTATATTGCCCCTGGGTTCAATCCCCAGTTCCACAATAAAATAAAATAAAATGGGGACATGACCAGAGCAGTAACTCTTAGTCTTTTCTTCTATAATACCTAGGCTTGTGCCATCAGCAAAGCCAATAGGTGGGCACAGACCCCAGGAATGATCCTGGCTCCACCCCACACACAGCACATGGACATTTGAGCTGGTGAGAAGAGGGTGAGTAGAGGTTCAACCTTGGGTCCTCAATCACTTATATTTGAAATAGTAAATTATGAGCTGTGGGTGTAGCTCGGTGGTAGAGCATTTGCTTAGAATGCAAAAAGCCTGAGGTTCATTCCCCAGCACTGGGGGAAAAAAAGTAAAATCATGATGGTTGCTCAACAATGTGTATGAACTTAATGATGGTTAAAATGGTAAATTTTGTCTTATGTGTATTTTACCACAGAAAAAAATGAAGTGAAATATTATAACCTCAGTAGGGTGCTATAATCCCAGGTACTTGGGAGGTTGAAGTAGGAGGATCACAAGTTTGAGGCCACTTAGTGAGACCCTGTCTAAAAAAAAAAAAAGAGGTCTGGGGATGCAGCTCAGTGGTAGAATGCTTGCCTCTCATGTGTGAGGGCCTGGGCTCAATCCCCAGTACCACACATACAAAAATTATGATTTCAGTAGACATTTCTAAGAACACACACACAAACACACATAGAGCAAATCATTTGCAGGGTTTTGTTTTTAAGCAATTTTAACACTATAAATCCTGAGTCACAGGTGACCTTGGCAGGCCACACTGCCGAGGGACTCTCTTCCATATCAGACTCTGCTCTGTCCCTCAGGTCAGAGTTCCTGGCTTGAGGGAAGCAGTGCCTGGCCCTGCCAACCCTCGGCAGTCCACCTGGCCTGGGCCCCAATCCATACCTACCCTCTAGTCCCAAACTATCTCTATGCCTCCCCACCCACCTTCCCCCACAACCAAGTGGCTTCTCCCCCATTCCCTGATGACCTAAGGTGCTCTCAACAGTCAGGCCCCATGGACAAACCTGGATCTGATCGCCCAGCCACTGGAATGCTACAAATCCTGGTTCTGTTCTGATGACAAAGAGTCCGAGTACAAACTGCAGCCCAAGGCCCCAGGACACGGTCCGCCAAGACACCTGCCACCCAATAAAAAGGGCTTGGTGAGCTTCGCTCCTTGCGTGGTCCACAGAGAACAGCATGAGGGGTGAGGATGGAGAGTACAGAACTGCTGGGGGTGATGGGAGCCTTGCCCTGCCTGGAGGCCAGAGCCCTGAGCCTGCTGCCAATAGTCACTCCCTCCCTAGGATTCAGAATAGGCCATGCTCTTAGCAGCCATGAGGTGGGCAGTGGGCAGGGGTGGCTCAAGATTCCAATCAAGGACCCTTGAGAAGCCAGCCCAGCTTTGAACATGCCAAGGCATTTAGTTTCTGAGTCATGGCCTCAGGACATGGACATCGGCCTGCCCAGCTCATTGTGTAACCTCCATCTGCCTGAACCCTCTCCATCTGTCCTCCATTGGCAGGATTCCCAAACCCCACTCCCTTGAGGCCCACCCTGTACAGAAGAGATGTATTCCTTTGGGTTGCTATTCTCTCTCAGCACCTAAAGACTCCTTACTGAATCCTGAGCTCTGAAACTTGGCTATAGCCTGGGGAAAGTAGTAACAACACTATGAAGCAGGGAGGGGTCCTGATTCCAGAGGATGGGAGAGAGAAAAAGGAGGCAGAAGAAGAGAAAGTCCATCTGACCAATCCAGTAGGCCCAACCAGCTGTTCATAGGCAGGGACCTCCCAAATAGGCAGATGGACACTTTGTTATGCATCAGAATTATCCAGAGGCCTTGTTGAAATGAAGATAGCTGAGCCTCACCATGGAGAGCAGGGCTGTGTCTGAGCTGGGAGCTGCCTGTGTAAAGTGCAGGTCAAGATGCCCCAGTTGCTATGGTAACACTGGCCAGAGAGGGCTACTGTGAAGACTTATGGCTCTGGCTCTATCAGTTGAAGCCTTGAGTTCAGCACCAACTCCCAGGAATAGTGAATTCTGAGCAAAACAAGATGACCCTAATGTCTCACCAGTCCAGTGTCCTTCAGATTGCCTGTTTGCTGAAACTTTTCCACAGATAACTTTTTGATGAAACCTATATAATAAACTTGCTGAGCTGGCTCTAGAGTCACTCAAGCCTCAGCAGGGCTTGGCTGCCCACCTAGCTACAACTTTTACTCTCTATGTGTATCTGTCTTTTCTCTATCCCCTCATCACTCCTGAACATCTGGTATCTCCCTTGATTAATGGCCATGACCAAGAGAGATGAGAGGGTTGTGGTATCTCACCCCAGTTTCTGACTATGAAAATTAGCATTTCTAAGCTGTGTGCAGTGGTATACACCTGTAATCCCAGCTACTTGGGAGGCTGAGGCAGGAGGATCATGAGTTCAAGGCCAGCCTCAGACTTAGTGAGATCCCATCTCAAAATAAAAAATAAAAGAGTCTGGGGGTGTAGCTCACTGGTAGTGCACCCTGTGTTCAATCCCCAGTACAGAGGAGGAAAAGGAAAAGAGGAGGAGGAGCACTGTTTTACACTAAAAATACCAAGAAACCTTTGGTTCTTCACACAGACTCTGGAGTCTAATTCTGTGTTTTCCAGGGTAATGGGGATGATTTCTGAGACTACAAACTTGAGGACATGTCACCAAGGAAAGAAATGCCTCCAGTGGCCTCTTGGTTTGGAGAAATGCAGCCGATCTGTCTATCCAGTGTCCTTGCCCCCCTTGGGGAGCTTGAGGACTTCTGCTAAGAGAGGTGACTACCCACTTGGGGTCTCCAGTTCCAGGATGTCCCTCACCTGCTTCATAAGAAGCCTATCCTGATGTACAGTCATTCCCAGACTCTGAGCCTTGGGTGTTCTCCCAACAGGAGCCTCTGCTCCCACCCAGTTCCCAGCCCCAGCCAAGGGGCAGAAGAAAGAACACACTGTCTTCCAGCCCCAGCTGTCAACTAAGCACTCACAGCACCGTGATGTTTCGAGCAGGCAAAGAGTAGGATGATGAACACGCAGGTTCCTGCAAAGGACACCAGCTGCTCAGGCCTCTGGAAGGTGTCTAGAGCCAGCCACAAGACCAAGGCCAAGACAGCAGCAAGGGCTAGACCTCTGCAAGAGAGAGGGAGAAATCCATCACCCTCAGCATCTTACACACACACACACACACACACACACACACACACACACACACACACCAAATAGTACCCAGGGCCCCAGAGGAAAGGTGAGCCAAGACACTTCTTAGTACTCTGTACAATGCCCTATGGATTGGTGGGTTTGTCCACAATCTGTCAGGAGTAGACACTCTTCCTGGCCCTCTGATTCCAAGCACAGTTCCCTCTCATCCTTGTGGGTAGTTCCTATATAGCCCAGGAAGTAGTTTCCTAGTAGTAAACTATTAGGAGTAGTTTCCTCAGATATATTTGCTGATCAGAATTCAACTGGTCATTTCAGGGGGCTTTTGCAGATCTCTGGAATTGTCACTCTTGACAGCTTCTCTTCTTTGATGCTCTGCAATGTGCTGCTACTCCAGAGGGCACAGGCAATAAGCCTGGGCAGCATCCACCACCATGTGGTGTTTTCTGCAGACATGCAGAATACAAGGGCTATGGAAGTATGGTTTCCTCCACCTAGATTTCAAAGAATGCTATGAAGAGTCTGGAGGACCATGCTGAGACCTGCACAGGAGGGTGAGACTGCCTTTGAGACCCCTGAACAGTAGAGACACGTGTGGCATGTGATGCCAACCTGGGGGAGCTGAAGGCTACATGCAAATCCAACCATGAGAGCAGCCATGTGGACTGAGTTCAGCGAAGCCATAGGGCAAGGTTGCCTAAGGTTTTAGACTCAACTAACCCAATGTGTCTGGAAGGAAGCACACAGTGTGAAAATTTATTCTGGATTATGTATATGTATATATTTAAATTTTGGTCAATAGTACTGGGGATTGAACCTAGGTTTGCTCTGCCACCGAACTACATCTTGAATTTGCAATCCTCCAGTCTTCACCTCCTGAGTCACTGGGATATGGATGTGCCACCACCCTGGGCTTATTCTGGCTTTTTTTTTTTTAATTTTATTGAAACCGTGGGTGCTCAACTACTGAACCACATTTTCGTCCCTTTGTTATATTTTATTTAGACATAGGGTCTTGCTCAGTTGTTGAGGCTGGCTTTGAACTCACGATCCTCCTGCCTCAGCCTCCTGAGCTATTGGAATTAAGGCGTGTAACACTGCCCCCAACTTATTCTGACATCTTAAGAGTTAAGTCTTGCCTTCTTGGGTTTCAGACTAGCTTGGGACCTGTTGTTCCTTTCTTTCTACCTCTCTCTCCCTTTTGCGATTGTGAGTGTTTTCCCTTTGCCTATCCCAACCACTGAATTTTGGAAGTAGATAACTGGTCTTGATTTGTGGGCTCCCCCACAGCTGGAAGGAGTTTGCCTTGTGTCTCAGATGAGACTGGACTTCAGAGTTTGAGTTGGTGTTGGATTAAGTTAAGACTTTGGGAACTATCGGGATGGAATGATTTTATTTTTTTAATGTGAGAAAGGCATGAATTTTAGGGAGTCAGGATGAAATGCTATGACTTGGACGTGGTTGGTTCCCACCACAACTCATAATGAAATCAACTGCCACCATGGCAGTGTTTGGGCGGCGGGGCCTTTAAGAAGTCATCAGGTTTTTTCTATGAGGAATGGGTTAATACTTACAGACCTGGATCAATTCTTGCTCTCACAGGACTGGATTAGTTACTGGGAGCACTGTGAGTGTGATTCATTTTAAATCAAGGCTGCTTTTTAAATTTTTTTTTAAATCAGGGATTGAAACCAGGGCACTTAACCACTGAACCACATCTCCAGCCCTTTTTTCTGTATTTTATTTAGAGACGGCTCTTATTGAGTTGCTTAGGGCCTTGATAAATTGCTGAGGCTGGCTTTGAACTCTCGACCCTCCTGCCTCAGTCCCCAGAGTCACTGGGATTACAGGCCTGTGCCACCACACCCAGCTGCTTCTACTTTGTCTCCTCTGCAGGCACCCCACTTGCTATGAGCTGAAGCAGCACAAGGCCTCACCCGAAGCTAAGATGCTGCGCCCTGTTCTTGGACTCCCCAGCCTCCAGAACCAGGAGCCAAAATAAACTGCTATTCTTTATAAACCACCCAGTCTAGTATTCAGTTACAGCAGTAGAAAATGACTAAGACGGGTTTGATGTTCTCTTCCCTAACCTACACTATGGCATCTCCATTGTTTCCAGAGCTCCAAGGAATCTTGTTTCAAAATCAAGAGATCCCACCCCAAACGTGTCCAGGGACATGAGTGACTACACCAGAATCGTCTGGGGGATAATTAAAAATACTGGCACCTGGACCCCAATCTAGCCTGCTAAGCCAGACTCCAGGGGTGGTCCCTGGCAGCCATATGTCTCCCACTTGCCCCAGGGGATCCTATGGGAGGCACTGAGAAGGGCCCTCCCTGCTTGGATGGGCTGGGCTCTCGGAACCTAAGAAACTGTCCAGTCCTGTCTCAGCCATCACAGTCACCTATTGTAACTGAGGCTGAGAACTGGCAAAACACAACAGAGATGGCTGGTGCCTTTGAATCCACCCCGCAACTCCTGCCCCCAAGCCCAGAAGGCAAACAGGGTAGGGAGTGGTCTCTGTGACCTGGGAACCCTCCGGTAGGCCAGGGCTGAGGCTTCTGTCTCCTGCCCGCCCCAGGCTGCCAGCTCACTCACCTCTTAAACCACAGGATGAGGCGGGGATGGTCCTGGAGTTTCACACACCTCCTCAGTTTTGGCCCCAGTAACTTCTTCAGCAGCCTGCAGGCCAGGCAGACAAAGACCACACAGGCAAGGACAAACAGCGCCAGGGCCCTCCGGAAATCCAGGAGGCAGGCAATGAGCAGGAAGGCAGCAAATGCTGGGGGATGGAATAGAGAAAGGATCAACCATCTTTCCAGGTCCTGAAGCCTCACACACTGACTCCATCTCACTCCATCCAAAGCACAGAGGGCAGGAAATTCACTCAGACTCCCTGGTTTCTCTTTCCTTATTTGGAAATGAGAACACTCATCCCTACCATGTCAGATTTTGTTACAAATTAGCTGGTAGAATGTGTGTGAATGGGCTTTGTAAACTGTGAAGTGCTGACCAAATGTGAGGAGATGTAAATAGAGCAGGTGAGACAAGACAGCATAAATCTCTGGGCATCAATGGAGCGCCTGCTACCATCTAGAACCATGCTATGTCAAATGGAGGATGGAGCTGAATCAGTGACTCCATGAAGTAATCAATCATTGATGATTAATCAATGACCATTTTCTTCCTGAAGTTTCCTTTTTTACTTTTTGCCTTTCTCTCCTGTGAGTAGCTGAGCCAGTCTGGGCTTGTTCCTCAACAAGCAGAGACCACAGGGGAAATGTATCTCCTTGGGATTTCAAATTTCAAAATCAAGGGCCCTTGCCAGGTGTGGTAGGACCTTCCTGTAATTCTAGCTTCTTGGGAGACTGAGACAGGAGGATAGCAAACTTAGCTAAGGATAGCAAACTAAGACCCTGTATCAAAATAAAAATAAAAAGGAAGGGATGCAACTCAGTGGTAGAGAGCATCCCTGGGATCAATCCCCAATACAAATACACACAAAAAAATTTTTTAATTAAAAAAAATGGCCTTAAAGGATTGGAAAGGACTTAGAGCCATGGATTAAAAATGTGGAATGAAACATCATGAGGAAATAGGTCCCACCCTGCCCCCTCTGCTATCAGACTAGTTAGTGAATAGCAGAGCAAAGACACTGATGGGTCCCAGAGAGGCCAGCACCCAGTGGGTTTGTGGCACAGCAAGCAGAGGAGCCATGTGTGCCTTGCTTCCAGGGTGGAGCCCCAGGGAGACACTAAGACTTCAGAGAGCATCACTATGTGGTGTGGGGTCAGGCAGAGCCCCAGAAAGCTTGTAAGTGTGTACACTCTGTAGTCACTAAGTAGTGGAAGTGAGGAAGATAAGAGAGGTGGGAAACCAGGGCAGGCCTGTGGTGGGGAAGGGACATCTCCAGGGCTCCCTGCCAGCATGGAGAACCTAGGACCACCTGGAGAAGTGGGCCAGTCAGAAGAAACCTGAGGAGTGATGGTGGCTAAGGCCTCCTGGGGTCTGCCAGGGAAAGGGGTGAAGGGAGTTTCCAAATAGACATAGATTAAGTTCCTGCCACTCCCTGTGATGATAAAATGGAAACGGAAAATAGATAGAGTTGTAGAAATAAAGCTCCCTTCCACACAGAAGCTTGTGGACTGGGATTCCTATTGTATGGGTGGCATTTAGAGGCACAGGTAGAGCCCTTCAGAGCCCAGCCTGGGATGCAGGTAGGCTCTGGAAGTTAAGGGGAAGAGGACAGGTTGAGGTGCCATGGTCACCAAGCACTGAGATCAGCACTTTATATCCATTTTCACAATGAATTCTCATGCCGGCATACAAGGTCATTGCTGTGTTGATGCCCGCTTAGATGGTGACGTAACAGGCCAGACAAGTTAAATGTCTTACACAGGGAGGATGTTAGGCCCTAATTAGGTCCATCTGCCTAGGTGCTAGTGCCTCAGAGGTGGGCGGTGGCAGGCCAGGGAGGAAGGAAGGGTCTGGAAAGGCCAAGACAGGGTGGAGCACTTGCCCAGCACCTGTGAGGTACTGGATTGATCCTCAGCACCACATAAAAAATAAGTGAATAAAATAAAGGTATCATGTCCATCTACAACTCATATATATATATATATACACACACACACACACACACACACACACAGAGTAAAAGGGAATACTCTTAGTAATAATTTTGTCTGGGC